TGTGGATTTGTGGGTTTGTTCGATGGGTTTTTTGAGAAGGGGAATAAGAAATTACTCATACAAAAATTCCTTTCTTTCCCCTCACATTTTGGTAAAATTTTATTTGCATTTAACTCAAGGAAATAGTTATAGTTCTAAAGAAATAAAGTATAATCATAAAAGGAACTCCCTCTCACTTTAGCTTGTCCATAGCAGGCAAAGCATGGCAGAAACATCAGGTTTTAAGAAAGAGGGGAATGGTAAACGACTATACTTAGCAGTTCTTTTTAATCAGAACTTTGGAACCCTTTCCTCTCACTCTTTTAACTAAATTAATCTTAAGCCCAATATTTCCCTTCTTTCCACTTTCTGTTAAATATATTTATTTATTTATTTAATTAAAGGAATGCGAGCAATAATTACGCACTTCCTGAGACATGACAATCACCTGCTGGAAAAACGAAGTACCCAGGACATCATTTCAATAAAAAAAATTACACCAAGAAAATAAGAACAAAATACACCAAGCATTTTCAGTTGTAAAGAGAGAGAGAGAGAGGGACAGAGTGTGACAAAGAGGGAGTGGGAGAAAGAGTGTGTTGGACAGAGAGGGGAGAGAGAGAGTGTGACAAAGAGGGAGTGAGAGAAAGAGTGCGACAGAGAGGGAGAGGGAGAGCTTTGAGAGAAGGCAATAGACAGGAGTGTGTTAAAAGAATTGCAGCGAAATTAAAATAAAATAAAATTTACGTTGAATTAAAAGGAAGCAGTCAAAGCAACAACGAGAGTAAGAGCTCAGTAGAATGCCAAGGCATTAATGCCCAGAAAAGGTATCGAATAGCTGATGACCAGTAATTTTTGAGTAAAGATTTCATTCAGAGAAAGGCAGAAAGGCTTCCAGCTTCAAATAAACTGCCTTACTTTATTTCTTCTTCTAATCCTTTTTTGGTTAAGTCTACTATTTTCCTCAATTAACGACTTACAGGGTATCTGATAGCGGAATAAGAGCCTGCCACAAGGACCAAATAACGAATAACGAAACTGTGGAGGACGAGTCGTGACTTCATTTGCTTGACACTTGGCCGGGAAAGTGTGGAAAGGGGAAAAGCGTTGGTGGGCTGCTGCTGTGGCATTTTTTTTTTTCTTTCCTATTTTCTTTTATTTTTTTCGAAAAGAGAGGGTGCGAAAAGAAAAGGCTGCAAACGATTCCTAATTGAAAACTATTAAATTCTTTTTTTTTTCTTTTGCTTTTGCCCCTTTGCCCGCTGCTACTTAATTTCTTCTTGGCACCCAATCTTTTTCTTTCCCACTCTCTCTCTCTCTCTCTTTCTCACTCTCTATATCTATCTCTTTCTCTTCCTTTGGGTCCAAATTGGAACTTGAATTTCATTTCGAATGACATTCGCTCCATCACGCGTCAACTGCAGCCAACCCATGGCACGTAGCCGGGATGGTTTCAGGAATAAAAAAATAAAGAAAAGCGGGGGAAAACAGAAGAAAAAAATAAAGAAAGAAAAGCGGACATTTTCATTTGAGCATATTTAATTAGATGCAATTATTTATGGTATTAAATAGATGAGGCAGTAAATGTGCTGTACACTGCGTTGCCCATGCTGAAGGAAAAAATGAAGAAAATTGAAATAAAATGCTAAAGAATTGCGTCGTTGTCTGTCGCCAAAGTAGAAAAAAACCATGTCAATGATGGAACTAAAAATACCCTATAGAATATATCCAATAACAATAACAGCAATCTCTTTTAAACTTCATGCCAAAATCCAAGAGGTTTCTTCAGCTAAAAACAAAGTTTCATATAATTATGTATCATAACATAAGAGTTATTCTTTTTTTAAGGATGATAGAAAAAATATCGATAATTTCTACAGTAACAATATTTTATATATGTCACTACAAATTGATATACTGTTTTATATATTTTAAATCTAATTAATCGGAAAAATTGATATATTAAAGAACATGATTCTTATATTTAAGAGAGAGTATGGTATAGAATTTAAAGAACATCGATATGACTTTGTTTACAGTACTAACATATCTAATTAGAGACTTCAATAAATAAATTAACATGTTTCTAATCATTTTCAAATAATTTTTCGATAAATCCAACTGAATCATATTTCCAAATGCTATCGATATCGTCTTCTCGATACATTTACATTCCCAACTCTGATCATTATTATTTTATTTTACTTTTTAGCAACCCCATTCAAAGGGTATACAAATAACAGCCTCAAAGAGAAGTGTAAAAAAAATATATATATATGTATAAAGAATAAAGCCAAGGCAAGGAAAATATTCAATTCTTGGCTCACTCAAAAAGGCACAATTCTGCAGCGAATGTGAACTGGCCCTGGTCCCAACCCCCCTTGCGCATCATTTACCAGCCAACCATGACAATGGGCTCTCCTTGGACCAAACCCCAAACCCTGCTAGCCCTGGAAAATCCAACGGACGAAGGAGTGCATTTAAATGGCAGGAAATTTGAAAAAATTGAAATTTAAGTCTTTGATAGATTGAAACCGATTTATTAGCTGCCCCTTTCTGTTTTCCTTTTCTTTTTTTTTTCTCAGCCACACCCATTGTTAGTCATTTTCCTTTTTGAGAAAAAAAGAAAGGAGCAGAAGCCGCTGCTCCTTATTTATTGTAAAAATGTATAAAAACAGAGATGTAGGACTCTAACAGGCGACCTAGTAAATGTATTTATTTAAATATCACTTAATCAATGATTAAAAAAGCTTTGTTTTTGCTACAGTGGGATAGCAAACACTCTTGAGGCTGCTCTCCCTCTCTGTCTTTGACTGCAATGTACAGGCAAATGGTTAAGGAGATTTGAGAGGATTTAAAGAGAGGGATCTACCGCCTCTCCATAGTAGTTTTTGCTCTCTCGAAGTTGCCTGCTCTAAGGAAGGATTTCTCTCCCTCTCGCTCTCTGCCAGCAATGTACAAGCAATAGAGTATAAGTGCAGTCTGAGAAAGTTTTGCCTTGCAGTTCATCTCTTCGAATGCTCTATCTCTCTGAGATAAACAGAATAACAAGGTATTAAAACTAATAACTGAAGATAATAATAAAAACTCTAATAATAAATGTAATAAGTAGTTTATAAAAAGTAAAATAAAATATTAAACTAATAAACCAACTACATTTTCCCACTTCAAACAATGTTTCAGTAAGTGAAGCTAACTAGTGGCTCTCTCTTCCTTTCGATTAGAAACCTATAAATAAGCCTGAAATATTTCCTACAAACTTCGAGAGACACTTAACTTCTGGAGGCCGACCCCCTTAGACTTGTCAGAGGCGTGGATAGTGGGTGCTCTGCATTGATTGCACGAAGCAGGCCAAGACAGACAGACAGACAGAGTTAGCCAAAATAAGTTTCGGCCCAGAGACGGAGAACGAAGGCAACGAAAATGGCAAACAACAGGCTGGAGTTCGCGGGAAATTAACGGCTGGACAGGTGGTGAGGGATGGAAAAGGCAAGGGAAAAGCCTCGCCGGAAAGTTATTGAGCAGAGCGACCTAAAACAACAACAAAATCCAAGACACCAAGCCACCAAGACGATGGGCGAATTTCTCTCCTGGTTCGATGAATTTATTACTTTTGATGTTCAAACACGAAAACTGCTGCAGGCCATAAAACAAGGACCCCTCACCGATTTTCCCCACACCATTCTGTATTTACCCGTCAGACTGTCGTGGAGTGGAGCAAATGCTATTAAAAGTTTACACGTCTCAATAGAGTGTTAAGAGATTAGTTGCCATCAAATATTTTGCAGAATTTCAGCGGCAAAAGTTTTTAGGACAGCCGAAAAATAAGCTAAAAGGCAACGGAATTAAAGCGGAGCCGAAGGAAAATGTAACAAATAATTGGCTGTTTCATGATTGTGAATAAATAAAGAGCAGAAAATTACTCCGAAATATATTAAATATTATATATATCTATATGACAATTTTTGGATAAATCAAAGTTTAAAATATGTATAACTAAGCCAAAATGTATTAATTTCAATTCGGAAAACTGTTCTATGTTAGTTTTTATTAGGGATTTAAATCTGCATACTTAATTTAAAATGTTAAAAATTCAGCTTTTTTGTAATTTTTTTACAATTTCAATGATGAAAATTTTGTAAAAAATTTTAAAAAATTATTTTTTCCCAAAATATGACTAGATCGATTTGCCTGTTGATGCTGATCAAGAATATTTATGATTTATAGGGTCGGAAATGACTCTATCACTGATTAAAGTTATAATTTCCTGTGCAAGATTCTTGAAATCGATATTTCTATATAATTTTTTTCGATTACATAAATCAAAGTTTAAAATATGCATAACTCAGCCAAAAAGGAATTAATTTTAATTCGGAAAACTTTCCTATGTTATTATTTCCTATGTTTCCTATGTTGTTATTGTAACAAACCTGCATACTTAATTTTAAATTTACAAAAATTTAAATTTTATCAATTTTAAAAATTCTGATTAATGTTAAAATAACGATAAGATTTTGAAAAAAAATTAAAAATTTTATTTTTCTCCCGGAGATGGCTAGATCAACTCGGCTTTTCATGCTGATCAAGAATATATATGATTTATAGGGTCGGAAATGTCTCCTTCGCAGCGTTTTAAGCTTCTGACTATAATTATAGAAATATCTAAATATATTTAATAACATTTTTCTAATATCTATATTTTTGTATTTAAACGTAAGAAAATACATGCAATTATGTAAGCTCATTGCAAACCTTGTTTACAGATATTTACTTTATTAAATTAACCAGTAAATGGTGATAATTATATTTGACAACCTTGTCACGAAATTCCATTGTTGAAACATTACAACCAGCGAATATTTTAAAGTTACAAAAAAAATATACATTGTCAAGACGAGAAATAAAACAACGATTTGGCGTGAGAGATTGGATCAAAATCTAGTTCAATATATACCAATAAATAAATATATTTATATATAAAGGGAGATGAGATCGATCGGTGGACAGTAGTAGTAGCCACGGCAGCAAGATGGCACATCGCCGGCCTTATTTCGCATTTTTCCAACTTTTTGCCATAGTCTCGTTGCAAAATGTACTCTGTGAAAACGAGAAACCCTACAATGTGGAGCTGAACTCCTTTGAACGAGATCAATCCATCGATAATCAGGATAAATGGGTGGACTGGGGAAGTCTGCGAATGAAGAAGATCGGCAGGAATAAATTTGCAGTTGCCGGTGACTTTGAATTCATGCTCAACATGGGCGACGAACAAAAGGTAAGCGAGTTTCTTTTATTTAAAAATATATAAATTATATATATATATATTAATGTATTCCCTAGATATCCCTGCGAGTCTTTGTCTACGATTCAAGTGCCAGTCAAAAGGGTCCTTTGGTGATGAATGTGAACAAACCCTTCTGTCAGTTCATCAACGAGGACAAGGACACATATCCGTATTTGCAAAAGGTTTCCAATATGCCCGAGCAGGGCAATTGTCCCTTCCCCAAGGGCAAATACAAGATTGACAATTACGAAATGGAGACCAACTTTTTGCCGGATAATGCACCCAAAGGCGACTATATCCTGGAGTTATCTCTGCAGGATCGCGAGATACCAGTGGCAGGACTCGTGGCCGTGGTCACACTGACTTAGGCCCCCATTTTTTTACTTAGTTCATTGTATTTATTACTATTTTTTTTTTTTGTAATTTAGTGGTTTTCGATTTTCCGGGTGGATCCATTTGACACAAGCAAGCGTTCACATATATCTATGTATTTATCCCAAGGTTGATTTAATATAACGAATTCGCTTTCAAAGACAACACACAATGATATATATGTGTATATATTTGTGGACTGGGTAAATTCGTAACCAGTAACCATTAACCAGTCATCAAGTGCAGTTTGCTTGAAATGACAAACACAAACCGAATCGCGCCGCAGAGTTTCAGCATCAACACCTCATCTAATTGAAATTTTCAGCGATATAACCAAAAGCATGAGCAGCAGGAGCATCATCATCGAGAGTGGGTGGCATTTGTCAGGGGCAACCACGCCCGGTACTCGAGGCCATGCCTCAAGGCTCTTCACAAATTTAATGATATCAACTCGTTGTGGTGATTTTTTTTCTTTTTTTCAAGGGTATATATGCTTGTTCAGTAATATATATTTCATTTATATTTGCAAGTTGTAATTGCATATTCTTCTGATTAAATAATATATATTTGCTTTCATTCATATTTAAAATTAAATTCAATATCAGGAAGAAGACTTTTAGGCAATCCTATGGCTCACAAAAAACATATTTTAATATTGAAATAAGTGTATATTTAAAATGTTCTTGCTTTTTAAGGATATCCTTTAAAATCCACCTCAGCAATGGGCACTTAGGAGCTCCCAAGGCTCCTTGTTATAGAAATTTATATTTATTATAAAAAAAACTATCAGTTTTACTTGCTTATTTCGAGTAGTTAAAGGTCTAGCTCACATTCATCAATATTCCTAATAAAATCTAGATCAGCAATGGGCACTTCTAGTCTCCTAAGGCTCCCAGAAGACAAGGCTTCTACTGTCCTTTTTTTCCCCGTGTGTGTGTGTGTGTTTGCCTCTTCCGAAAAATGATTATCTCTGCTTTACAATCCATTGATTCCACTTAAGCACCGCTAGAATTGCACCACATGCTGGGCAAAGCATGGTAGGTCTCGCTTTTAATAGGGGTAGTATAAGTATAGCTCGACTTTACACACATGCGACACTTAATTAACAAATATGCATTACAAACACCCGCAACGAACAGCAATTGGTTGGTTGTGTCATCGCCGAATGTGCCACCCCCCCTGTTCCCCTCTTCGCTCTCAGCGGGCCAAGTGTGTGTCCCCTTGACACCCGCTATGGCTTAACCCTTTTATTTGCATCCCCCATTGGGGGTTGGCATGTGTTTAATTGAAAAATCATATGCAGCGCGCATAATTATGTTTATTGCAATAATCCGATGCAAATTTGCGAAAACTCAAACTGACACACAATCACCGAAATGCTTTAGACTAGGATGGACCAGTGGTGGCGAGCAAGAGGGGGTTAATTTTGGCGCATTTTCCTATTTGAAATTCTAAATAACTTTGGGTTAAATGTTGTGATGAATATTAAATTAATAAATCAATATCAGGGCTTGGGTTTTCTCTCTTAATGCTAAGTTTGCCTGCAATGTATAAGCAATAGTAAAGAAAAGAAGTTATAAAACAGGTTCTGCATGCAGTTTATAAATAAATAAAATCCTTGCTTTATATTTGTCTATAGAAATGCAATCACTTTTATCTCAACAAATTATCTACTAAAAAGTGTATGTATATTTATATCTAGATTTAATGTAATCCCCTTTTTGGCATGCACAAACTAAGCCAGTGGTTGATGCCACCCCCAAAATGCAACCGGTTGCATTTGTATCTGCATTCGTAACCATAACCATGACCATAACCATAACCATAGCCGTATCTGTATCTGTATCTGTATCTGCATCCGTAGCTCTGTTACTGTGACTCTCACTCTCTCTATCTCTCTCTTTCTATGCAGTTGTATCTGTATCTGTTGCCGTATTGGCGTTGTTGTTTTTAGCTACTGGCGCGCATTAAATTGCACTTTAAATTGCACATTTCAACGCCTACTGATTATGACAGATAATTATGTTATCGAGTGCCGCCACACGCCGAAACCCCCCACAAATGCGAGAGATGCTCACTTTGGACTCCTAGGGATATGTGAGGATGAGAACGAGTGCGAAGAGAACGAGTACGATGAGAACTAGTACAATGAGAACTATGACGAGAATGAGAAAGAGAGGGAGAGCAGAGAACGAGAGGGAGAAAAATAATGAGACGAGAACTAGTAGCAGAACCTAGAATGAGAATTATAACGAGAATGAGAAAGAGAGGGAGAGCAGAGAACGAGAGGGAGAAAAATAACGAGATGGGAACTAGTAGCAGTACCTAGAATGAGAACTATAACGAGAATGAGAAAGAAAGGGAGAGCAGATAATGAGTAAGGGAAAAATAATGAGAAGAGAACTAGTACCAGAACCTAGAATGAGAATTATAACGAGAATGAGAAAGAGAGGGAGAGTAGAGAATGAGAGGGAGAAAAATAATGAGAAGGGAACAAGTACAAGAACCTAGGAAGAGAAGTAGTTGGTAATCGAGGAAAATACAGCTAATAATAATGAAAATTAGAAAGAGAACAAAAAGGGAAATAATAAAAATAACGAGAAATAGAACAAGAACGAGAGCGAAAATACGACAGAGAAGGAGATGGTAAGCGAGAATGCAGGATACTCATAAGAAACATAACTTTTCACACAGTTTTCAATAGGAATAATAAAAAAAACTAAAAGAAAATCGATTAAGAAACACTCTTTGAGTTCCCTAAAATATAATATTAATTTCTATTCGCAATGGCAAGTAACAAAAATTGAAATTTCTTGTATTTGCTAGCTACAATTACTTCAGTTTCCGTTTTCTTTGCCAAAAGGACAAGAAACCCAGGCTCTCATCGCTTTGGGGATAGGACTCCCATTACCAGGACCAGAACCAGAACCAGAACCATGACCAAGAACAACCCATTCCCCGACACATTACCATACATTAACCACCCGAAGAAGCCACCTTTTGCCGTTTCATTTCCGCAGGTACACATATTTTTAATCATCATTAACAATAATTCGAGAAATACTTTTAATTTTCAGGACTCAAGACGATGCCTTGTGCCGCATGTGTGGCGTCATCGTTGTGGCTCAAAGGGGGCGTAGTCGACCCCACCTCCTTGCTCTGTGTTTGCCTCAATGACATTGCACTTACTGTCGTCGCTTTCCCCATGCCACCCACAAACCCACCCATCCCCCTCCTTTTTTTTCACGCGCCTTCAAGATTTATGAAAAAATGCCCAACCCCCCTTGGGGAATTGTTTTCGACGCCTTTGCTCGGGCTTTTCTTGTTTTTTTTTTTTTTTTTTTTTTTTCGCTTCCGCCACTCTTGGGTTTGTGTGTGTTTTTTCTATTTTTTTTTCTGGTATTTCCTTGTGTGCAATATTAATTATTATGGGCGCCCCGCCCTCCCCCCACACAAATAAATCATAAATTAAAAGCTGGGAAAGTGGCCACCACTCGCGCTAAGACAATTTTTATCATTAAACGCATTTGATAATTAAAAATTGTCATTTTTTAGCAGCCCCTTTCTCCCGGAAAAGTGGAAAATATTAAATTACCAAATGCTGGGTTGGGTTTTTATTATATATATTTCGTTTTTTTTTTTTTTATTATTAGGGTGAAGCGCATTTATCATTTTGCCAACTGTTTGTTTGATAAGGGAAAAAAGAAGCGACACAGACATAAATAAAAATTAATTGGGAAGGAGAGAATATAAAAATTTAACCGAAAGTGAAGTCACATAAATATTACTTAAAATAGATTCGGAAAAGCCGAAAAGTGCCAAGCGAATCTGTCTCCGTTTTTCCCCACCTATCCCTTTCTCTTTCCCTTCCAACTTCTGGCTTTTCCTATGGTTTCATTTCATTAACTTTTACAAGTTCTCTTCGATTGCTACGGGAAATTTTTCGAGGCAAGCTGGGAACCGTTAAAAGTAATGCCAAAAGTAGAAACCATTATAATTGTTGTTAAATGAACCAAGAAAAAAAAAGGAAAAGAAGAAAAAAAGACAGACAGCCAAGGAGCGGGAAAAGCTGGCCACAAATGGTTTTCCAATTGATGGGAAGAAAGGAAGACTGGCATTTCAATTGGCAAGGTTTCGCCCCGAAAAACTCCGGTGAAAATGGCAACAGAAATAAATATTTGCCACACAGATGGCAGGGAATAAATATGTATTTTTTTTTGCACTTTCTTTAAATTAGTCTTTGATAATTGTTAAATTAAACTTAAGATTGTACTCAATTAAGCGAAGAAAGCAAGGTAAAGTGAGAAAAATATATAAATAAATCCTATTTGTATCTAACTCTTTAATAATAATTAAATTAAAGCGGGAACATATATAATTAATTCTTTAATAAGTGTATTTAATGTTAACATTAATAATACATACATATTTTAAGCCCTATATAAATATTAATATAAAGAAACTTCTCAACATAAAACATTTATATAATAAATAAATATAATATTTAAATTATTTTCCTTATAAAATTAGAACAATAACAACCTATAAATATAAATTATTTAAGCTTATCAAACTTAAAACCTTTAAGAAGTATAATTTCCTGCTTTTTCTGGCTTACTAAAAAAATTTCCTTATAATTTTTCACCATTTTCCCCTGTCATTTTACGCACCATTACCACTTTTCGAAGCAATAAAATGTTATTAAAATGATACCGAATGTAAATCAACGTCTCGATGACATAAAAATAAAATTTTAATGCCGCTTTCTTGGCGAAAATGCAATCTTCCTCCGTTTCGGGCTTTTTCCCGTATTTTCTTTCTTTATTGAAAACTTTTCCACGTCTGTAGTTTTTGGCCTCATCATTTTCACCTTGGTTACTCTCCTTTTTGCCTTGCCGACAAACGAAAATTTATTTGAATTTATCAGCAGTCGAGTCGCTGTCTGTGTGCCTCGCGGAAAATGCCGCTTTTCCGGTATTTCTCCCATTTGCTCATTTTCCGCGGGGGCGCATGGCAAATAATTGTAAATATTTGATACACAATAAGGCAATAAAAATAAAATTGAAAATTGTTCGCTTTTGTGCTACGTTGCCTTTTATTATTATCATCGTCATCGTCATTATCATCATCCTCTGTCTGGGTTTTTCCTGGGACTGTGTCGTAAAGGAAATTGATACATAAGTCATTTTTATTGGCATATTCTTTTGTGTAATTACATTGCAGGTAATTTGAATTTCCGTTTCGTTTTCCCGTCTGTCTCCCTTTGCCAGCAAATATAATTTATTCCATGATGAAAAGCCCATTAAAAATTATATGTTATTTACGTAAATCGCATCGATTTTCAACATGAATGCAGATGAAAGGAAATGCGACTCAAGGATACCCATTATTTAATTTTTATTAAAACGGAAAAAGAAAAGAGAAGCTAGATTTTCCTATACCTATAATATTTTACTATTATTACTTCTCAGATTCCATTAAAAATAGATAAAGAAAACACTAAAGTTTTTGCTGATAAACTTGAAGTATAAATTATATTATCTAAGCAAAAAATAGTTTATTATTTTTATTGTTTTCCCGATTTTGCATTTTCCGTGAACTTATCTCTCCTGGATCCTGGTGATCACATGCTCCAGGACATGCACACAGATGCAGTAGATGAAGATTATCTTGAAGCAATTAATGCTGAACTGCAGCAGGATCACATTGGTCGGCGTCATGATTAACGCCGGATCGATGGAAATTGTGGGGAAAAACCCGGGGAAACCAAATCTAATGGCTGTGTATTAACAAATAATTTTATACATTTTTTTTGTTTTATATTTTTGACACAAGAAACTAAGCTAAGGTGAGTAAAATACTTGTTTTTAAAGGGAATTATAAAAATAAGAAATAAAATAAGAGGTACAGCTTGATATTTGAGATATCGAGGGGAAAATTCCCAAATGATATAACAAATTAATGTCCCTGGAAGTTTCATATTTCGCTTAATTTAACTTAAGGAATTTTCATAATAAAAACTAAGTGAAGTATAAAGTAAAGTATAAGGTATTTCATAATAAAAACTAAGTAAATTATATTGTATTTTTAGTAACTTAATGTTTAAGGATTAATTTTATAAATTCTAAAGATTATCATTTAATTTACTTTCTATATTTATTTTGGTTTGCAGTTCGATTTTGTTAAGTTCTTAATCTTAATTTAATGAAGTTCTTACTTCCATTAATATATTTCCTTATACCTGTACTCTTTTGTTTTCTTCTTTAAGTTTATTTATTTACATATATATATATTTTTTTTTTTCTTATTTGTTGTCTATTACCTGTATATATATTTTCCAAGCTCTCTTTTTTGGTGCAAAGTTTTTGCGGCTTTTTCAATATTTTATGAGTCAAGCTTTGCGTTAACACCTTAAGTACGAAGGGCATTGCGGTTGGCAGTGGGGTAGCACCTTCCCCTTCCTCCCCTTTCTCCACACCCCCCTTTTTCCTCCTGTTCCCCCCTATTTTCCCCGTTTTCCCCCTCAATATGTGTGTGTGGCAGGAAATAACGCGCAAGTTGTAAGTTTTAACTAGCAAACAACTTGCGTTGGACCAAGACCCGGATTTGGATTCGGATTTGGGTTTGGGTTTGGTTTTCTGGGGATACGGGTGGAGGAAACCGCAAAGAGGAAGGAAGGAAGGAAGGAAGGACGACTGTTGCGCCTGTTGAGCAAGGATGTGTGTGTGTGTGTTTTGCTGCTGCTGCTGATGCGGTTGCAATGAAGCATCGAAATATTCTACAAAATCACACAAAAAGAAGAACGCCACAGAAGTTCACTAGAAAAAATAGATTTATACAAAATAATAATAATAATAATAATAATAATAATTAAATTATTTAAGAAAAAAAAAATAATAATTAAATTATTAAAAAAAAATAATAATAATAATTAAATTATTAAAAAAAAATAATAATAATAATTAAATTATTTAAAAAAAAAAATAATAATAATAATTAAATTATTTAAAAAAAAATAATACTTAGTTTAATAATTTATAGTTTATATAGTGAAGTATAAAAATATACTCGAAGTACTATTTATGGTCTTACATACATTTATTAAACAAAATAATAATAACTGAATTAATTAAATAAATTTCAAGGTGTTAAATAATTTATAAACTTATTTAAAATAAAAATATAGGTAAAATGAAGTAAAAAACCAATTTCAAAATACTATTTATGGTCTTATATACATTTATTAAAAAAATATATTAAATTAAATTGTTTAAATAAAATTTACTTAGTTAAATAATTTAAATACTTACTTACAATTGAAATGTAGATATAATGAAGTATAAAATAAAGTGGAAAATACTATTTATGACCTTAATTAGTTTGTTTTTATTACAAATTTGTGTTTTTATATAAGTTTCTTTAAAAAATCTATATTATATGATTTTTAAAGCCTATGAAACGAATTAAATTATAAAATTAAATATAAATTGTCTTATAAAATTTTTTAAGTCCAAAAATTATCATTTAATACCTCATAAAATTAAAATATAGATATAATGAAGTAGAAAATAAAGTTCAAACTACTAATTATGAACTTACATAATATGTTTTTATTACGAATTTATGTTAGTTATTAAACTTTTTTAAAAAAATCTTATTATATGATTTTGTAAAACACATAAAATTAAATATAAACTGTCTTGTAAAATTTTGTAAATACAAAATATACCATTTAATACCTCTAAAAATTAAAATATGGGTATAATGAAGTACAAAATAAAGTTCAAAATATTATTTATGAACTTACACAATTGGTTTTTATTACAGATTTTTGATATTTACATAACTTTCTTTAAAAAATCAATATTTTATGACTTTGTATAACTTATAAAATGAGTTAAATTATGAAATTAAATATTTAATGTCTTCTGAAATTTTTTAAATCCAAACTATATCTTTAAATACCTAATTTTGTATTTATGAAAAGAAGAATATGAGCTTATTAGCTTAAATATTGTTTTTATATCCCCAAATTAATCAAATACCTAAAAATCTTAAAAAAATTATATAATTTCAACAATAATCTATTAGTAATTAATATTTTTGAATGATAAATAATTGAAATTTCCTGCAAAAATTTCACTTTATTGGTCGCTTGTAGACGTTGTCGACAACGATTTATTTCCCAGGCAACTTAAGTGCCTCCCCGAACCCGCCTTCCCCTTATAAACCCACCCACCGAACAATGGCCATTCATGGGAGCCACGCCCAAACACCACACACACACACTTACACACACACACACACACACACACACACACACACACAAACACACACACAAAGATCCATAAGATGGTATGGGTTATTTTTGGCGCTGTAACTCAATGAGTCGAAATTAAACAATGCAAAAGATTAAGTGCAGATTTGGGACTTTATCTGCTTGTGCCATAAATTGGTATTTAAGGGATACCTCACAAATGTCTATAGCACACACACACACACACACACACACACACGCATATATCCTTGCAACCCTGGATATCCTTGGAGTAGCGGCTTATGTGGGTGGCGCCTTCAAGTATGCAGCGAAAGTTTGCTCTGCCAACAATAGATCGACACACACACACACTCACACACACAACAAATACAAGCCAAAGGACTCTACGGTAAATTGCCTGCTTCCTTTTTGCAGGTGGCAACTCTGGCGGTTACCAAAAAAATTTAGAGGAGAAGGAGAAAATGGGGAAAATGGGGAAATATCCCCCTTTCCCAAAACCGGTTAAAACAAGCCAAATGCAGCGCAAGTTTTCCGTTTTGTTCGTTGTTTACCAATACAGTTTAACTCAGAGGGGGAGGGGGAGGTGGGGCTGGAAAATCCCAGGTAACCCAAGGAAAAGGAGGTGGAGGAGTGAGAGAGACCGAAAACATGCACAAGATTAATTGCAATCGGTGTTTTGGCATATGTTTTATACTTTGTCTTCAGCTTTCGCCTCAACTTCTTCCCTCTTTTAGTTTTGTTGTGTGTTTGGGTTTTCTTTGTGCAAGTTTTTCCTTTTCTTTTTTTTTGAGGAAAATTCGAGGGGGCCAGGTGAGTGCACTTGGCACTTGAGAAGGTAATTAAGCAACTATTTATGGGGTTTTTGGTGGAGAGACACAAAACACATGTACATGGGTGAAACTTTGCCTGTTCTTTGGCTTCATAAATTATTGTATATATCATTTACCATTTAATTGGAAATTACTTAAAAATATGTTACGTGCTGAAGGGGAGAAGTATAAATAATAATAATTATTATAAAAATATTAATTGTAGGTATAAATAAATAAATATAGATCAAGCTGTCATCACAGAGTTAATAACTTCAGGTATTTAATATTTTAAATCAATTAAAAATAATTCAAATATAATATATCTTTAGTAATTAAATACTCAAAGATTAAAATGTTAAAATAATCACTTAAAATATTGTTTAATAAGAAGTAATTTCCTATAAAAAGTTTACTGTTCCTCTTTGTAAATACATTAAACATCCGTAGCCTTTGCTTAAAATATACATCAATATTTTTATATTTTATAACATATAAACATCTAAAAGTCCACCTTAATTCATCTTTGATAAAGAATCTTTAAGTATATATTTTTTTATTACAATAATCATTATTAGAGGCCCCCCTCCTGATTGACCTCTTAAATGCCTCGTCCTTTTGTTCCGTTTGTTGTTCAGCTGGAAGATTCCCAGTATTATCTTCAATGCCATTTCTTATTCAATTTCATTTGCAGGACCCACGAACATAATTCGATTGCCCCTCATGTCTTAATGGCATAATCTTGGGGAGTGTGTGTGTGTGTGTCCTGGCAACAATAACAACACACACACACACACATTCTTTCATCCCAAAAACCAAGCTCCCCCCCCAGTATCCTTACAGCATCAACACCATATCACTTTGATTACTTTATTATTGGTGGGCACACACACAACACACAACACACACCTTTGTGTGCCTCGATTTCCTTTATATTTTCCCAACCATTTTCCTTTTTTTTTTCTTCTTGTCCCACACCTGATTATGGTACAAACTCATTCCACACAAAATTCCCGGCATTATCCCACTTTACTTATTAGAAGCAATCATATAACACTCCATCCCCTGGAATATATATATATATATATATGTATATATAATATATATATACGATTTGGTATGAGGGTTAAATGAACAAGAAAAGGAAGCCGCAGGAAGCAGCTGAAGACGGAGCCAAAGAAAAATAAATCATTTTTTCTGTTTTTGTTGTTGATTTATGCGTTTGTTCGATGTCTCTCACTCCGAAGATATATCCCCAACTCCTTGAGCTTACCATCTTTTGTCTATAAATGTATCTCCGGTTCTGTAGATGCACTGAGCGAAAATTAAGAACATTTAATAATCGGTAAAGAACATAAATCTATCGTGGAACTAAATGCAACAAATTTCCAGCTGCTGTCATTTAAAAATCTACAAAAAATATTAAAAATATAATAATATAATTATAAATTTAGTATTCTTATTTAGACCTTCTCTTTATGTATATGTTTTATATATTTTATATATCTTATATATTTTATATATTTTATATATTTCATATATTTTATATATTTCATATATTTTATATATTTTATATATTTTATATATTTTATATATTTTATATAGTTTATATATTTCATATATTTTATATATTTTATATATTTTATATATTTTATATATTTTATATATTTTATATATTTCATATATTTTATATATTTTATATATTTTATATATTTTATATATTTTATATATTTTATA